GAATATTGGGGTGCTATGCAGAGCCTTGCGGAAGAGCTCTGGACCTTTAAAATGAAAAATGGGTAGGACTTCAGAGAGGGGAGGTGGTAAGAGCATCATACACTAGAGGGTACCATGTGTAACCCAAAGATACAACCAGCTTCCTTCAATGCCATCACGTGTTCTATCCCAGTCAAAGAAACATGGGCTTGATATCCACGAACACTTGAAGAACACTCCAAAATTTTTTCAAAGGAAATCTCATCTATGGACCACAACAAATTTCTTTAAGTCCTCCTTCCATATCCATATTTTCCTCCCCAAACTCATGCTGATGTGAAATTTCCTCCTACTCTCTAAGAAATAACTGAGGCTTACTTCCTTACTCAGTCCAATCTTGGTGTTTGACATTTTTTTCTCCATTTTTACCCTGGCCTTACTGGGGGAGGTGAAGTGGGGGTGGGGGGTTAAGTAAGAAGTAAGAATGGTAAGTAAGAACTTTCTCTTCTTACTAGGACTTGTTTGCCTCCAAAATTTAACTAGCGTTCCTCTAGCTCCCTTTATTGGACAGCATTTTCTATTCATCATTCTGAGTAATAGTTCCAAGTTCAGGAACAAACAAATAGATGCAAAAATCTACCAGGGTGGAGGGGTGGTGATGGGAGGAGGATAAAATGTGCAAACACTGCTACCCTAATATTTTTTGCCTACTGACAGATGCAACCAGCAGGACTATGTTGGAAATAAGAAAATGGTTCACTTTTCCTAATGGGGTAACAGGAAAGGAAGTTAGAGAAGTCTATAAAGAGGTGATGATTAGTTTTTTTAATAATTTCTATTAATTTGATCTCTGACCTACTCAATGGATACTTCTACATTCAGAAAAAACACATTCTGTAAGGGGAAATAAGGATTATAAGGAGTCTACATGAAATCATCCCCATTTGCGTAACAGTGTATGAGTGTGTGTGCATATGTGTGTGTGTATTTAACTGAAATCCCAATATAAGATGATTGGTAATGGAGTAGCTCAGATTTACATTAGCAATTTTTTTTTCAGAACGCTTACAACATGCTATTGGACACTTTTGTCTTATTATATAATTAAGTCACCAATCTAGATCCTTCAAGGTATCTGACCTGACATTTTGTGCTATCTCTTGCCCCTTGATTTTTCAAAGCTCAAAAACAAAATCAAAATGTGTTACTTCTCAACTCCAGCAAAGCTACATGTTTCAACATGATGGCCCTGTCATAGTCAATAGACAGTAAGAGAAAAATGCAACATCTGCACTAACCCAAAAGAGCACAGACTAGCAATTGTTCAAGGTTGTCCCACAGAACTAGAATTAGTTAGAGTGTTGACACATGTCATGGGTGAAACTAACAGGAAGCTGGGGTACATTGGTACAATGGTATAGAAATGAGAAAATCCAACACTTGCAAACGAGTTGGTAAATAATTATTGCACCAAGTTCTCTGAGTAGCACTGGTGCCAGCCTGACCACAGGACCTCTCCCCTGGAGGCTCCCTAGATCTTCTTAAAGTCCAACAACCAAAAGACTGTGGGCTGGCACAACAGAGGCCCTCAAGGAACCTGGTCCAACACTAAGAGGAGCACCTGTTCTGATTGGTCAGTGCCTAAGCCAATCCCACTGAAGGAGACAGTGACCTTGGAGGAGGCACCGCACCCTGGCAGGTAATTCTTAGTGCCCATCTGCAAACCCCCTTCACAGCTAACAGATGCTTCCAGTTATCTTCGCATGGTCAACTGTGGGAACTGCAGTGCCCTAGCGACGTGGGCTCTGAAAGAGCAGAGCAAGACAGACAGCTGAGCAGCAGGCTGGCCTGTGAGCCAAAATACTGGCTGTTACATATTTTCAGTATCATCCCTAGGTATGGGGGAGAGGAGTGCTATCCAAGATCAAAACGATGGTAGGGAATGCTTGATTAAACAAAGTTCCTTTATTTTGGAACTTACCAGTTTTGTTATTATTACATTCATATATATATATATATATTTTTTTTTATTATTCTAATATATACTGTAAACCTCTGAAATGTATATGCCATATAGTATTTTCCAAATATATTTGGTTATAGGGTCCATTCTTGAGGGGTACATAATGAGATTAGTAATCTGAGCAACAATACTTTGAAGAACACAACATCAAAGATTAAAAAAAGGAAAAGGAAGATTATGGATCTTGGCTTCATAAGAAAAGGGGAACAATAAAACAATTAAAAACAAATCAAATTTGCAAATGGAAATGCCAGCCCATGCTAACCACACAGTAACTATTCCTACAAAGACAAAAATCAAAACAAAAAAACCAAAACAGTTTTTTAAAATTATGTGTCACACAAAAACAGACATATTTAAGATATAATATAAACAGCCTTGAATTCTCAACCTGTATGATTTTTCAGAACAATCCAAAACAGGCATTATTTTTTTCTCAGTTTTTTTTTTTCCCCACAAGTTGACTTATCTACAGATGAAAAACAGAACTTCTGTCAACACCTATGCTGTACTAGAGAAAGCTAAAAGCTTAAAGCTTAATCATTCTGGGAGAATAAATATGCAAGTGATTAAATCAAGGCTTGCATAGTTTTGCTTTCGATCCTTAATCCTTACTTTACCCTTTCACAAACATATCTTAAATAGTGACTTTTAGGATATTTGAAAGCACATCTTTATTTATTTACCATATGCACAGAGCTAAAATGAGTTGCTTTGGGGTAGAGGAACCACGTCAAAGGCATGGCACCTGCCTTTCAAGAACTTAGGGTCTCTTTGAGATGGCAATCTCCCATCATATTCAAACAAAAAAGCAATGCAGGCCATGACTAGTTACTACAAAGAGTGGCAGAAATAAAAANAAGAATTGATTGAAAGCCAACAAACATAACTAAACTCATTATAAAAATAAAGGTATAAGTTCAGCTCCTCAATTTAGGACCGTACGCAGATCAAAGTTGTTAACATGCAATTGTTAATGATGGGCCAGAACTCAGCCGGTGAGGGGGTGATAGGGATTGCAGCATGTGTTTCTAAGTGTGTGAGGCTCACATTATTATTATTTTTTTTTAATTCAAGTTTATTGCGGTGACAATGGTTATTAAAGTTACACAGGCTTTAAGTGTACAATTCTGTAATACGTCATCTACATATCACATTGTGTGCTCACCACCCAGAGTCAGTTCTCCTTCCGTCACCATATCGTTGGAGAGGGTGACATTATTGAACTATGCTCTCATTCTGTGGCCATCTGCCACATGTGGGTATTTGCATTTAAATTAATTACAATTCAATGAAATATAAAATCCAGTGCCTCAGTCACAGCAGCCATAGTTCAAACACTCAATAGCAAGTGGTTAGTATCTTTAGTATCTACAGTTTTGGACAGCTTGGAGGAACATTTCTATAACTGTAGGGAGTTCTGATGAACACTGCTATTCACAGAGGATAATCACTACTATCGCCTCCGATAATTATAAGAAGGAGGAGGAGAGGGGTGAAAAAGGGAGAATACAGTCAAAAGAAAACACTGATGAAACCTTAACAACTCTGTTAAATATTTGAAATGCCTTATTTCATATAATCTTCACAACTTTCCTCATGAGGTAGATACTGTAATTATCCCCTATGTTAAGCTTGATGACACAGTGCTTGGCGAGAGGAAGTAAATCACCATAGTTGTTCACGTGTTAATTGGTTTAGCTGGGGTTTTACTCAAGCCATCTGACTACAGTCTGGTAAGCTTACGCTGCTTCTGGAGAACTTGAAATGTTTAGAGCCAGAGGGAACATTTCCTGTGACATAAGGGTTTCTTCATCCTAGATACATACCAGAAGCATTAGGGGAGCTTGCTCAAAGCAGTTACCTGAGTCCTAATCCAGAGCAACAAGGGTCAAGCCAGGGCTTGCACTTTTGGGGATCACCTAGCGCTTTAGATGTATGGCCAGAGTTGAATAACTGTTTAGAGATGTTCTCATCCACCTTCCAGAGTCCAGATAACAAAATGTAGAACGTACCCCAGGTCACTAGCAGGAACTACTGACAACTTTGAAACCAGAACCTAGATATCAGGGCTGCCATCATAGCAGGATATGGCTTAGGCCATATTAACAAACCGTTCTTTTCCATTTCTTTATGGGTATTGTTATTTCATGCAATTCATGTACTACCTAAACATTTTATCAGAATTCAGAATTGAACAATGCAAGTTTTTTAAAAACACACAATGGATGTAGCACTCCTCTCCTCCTGAGACAAACAGGTCTTTCTTATTTCAAAGCAAACATTTTCTTCTTAAGAAAATAACATTTATCTCTGGAGAGTAGATAAACCCTCTTAACAGGAGCAGTATAATGTAGTGGAAACGGTATGGCTGCCAACCAAGAAACCTGACTTCTAGTCCCAATTGTGTCCATGACTATGCAATGGGGGAAAACCATTTCCTTTCTTTAAACTTTAGTTTTCTCATTGGCAAAACTAGGGTGTGGTCTATGATGATTTACAAGGCTCCTTTTGGCAGAGCCTCCATCTTATCATTTGTATGCAGATTGAATGAACTTTAGAAATGAAACTTCCAACCTGCTGTAGGACAACACATTCACTTCAATTCTAGTTGATGTATTTACTCCATATCAAGGAAAAACAGGGATATCAGATGAAAATCCCATGTTTTCTTCTGTTTTGTCAAGCCTCACTCTGATTCTTGTCACCGATTGGTCAGAACTCTTATAAGAGAGATAGCAACATCCAACCAATGAGAGTCATTCCCTGTAGCTGCCTTTTGGAAATGGCAGTATACCTACTCCTCGCCCTCCTACAGTCACAGCTGTTGATCTGAAAATTACGATGTGTCAGACATTTTACCACCTTAACATCCATCACCTCACCTTTACATCTCTTAAAGCTAAACTGTAATGGATTCCTAGGTGGCTAAGAGGTTAGCCAACCAAGACAGACGTCACATCATGAATAAGCAGCATGCTGAACATACATTTCTTACCTTACGCTTGTTGGTAGGACACACATAGAGATAGCTTAAAATTGTTTTCAACCCAACTTTGTCATTCATCTTCTCATAGGTTGTCCCATAATCGGTTGACCTGTAATTCAAAAGGAGCATTAATGAGGACAGAAGTATACGTCATTTGGCTGCTTGTCAGTATAATGCATGTTTTACATAATAGAATGGCTCTCGGGAGGTTTCTAAATGATTCATGTAGTATATAATGATGCTTAATTATGTACACAGCAGCACCATGTGAGTGGGTAACATTTGCATTTAAATTAA